GGGGGGGGGGCTGAAAATTAAAAATGGGGAAAGGGAGGGCAGGGCAACCGCCTTATCACCTACCGTACAATCCTGGTCACCTGTTTCTTCATCCCATGGCAGATGATGGTCCCGCCCCCATCTGCTCACAGCCATAGATCAGTCTGTATAAATATACAATTCCCTTTCTCTAATTCTATCACTTTACAAATGTTTCTCATTAATGCTGTGGAGGACAGGGTATGGAAAACAACTGGAATTTCCAAAGCCCCCTCTTATAGCAGAGCTCCCCAAATTAATTTTTGTAATAAAACTGAACAGAAGAGAATGGAAACCCTTCACCTAACAAGTGAGGAAGAATGTAAACTGTAACCTGATACCATGGAACGCTTTAGATTATTTTCAAAGTATTTCAGTGTCCACGAAAAATCTAAGATTCTAAAATAAGAGTCTGAAACATTAGCTGAATAACAAACAGCAAAACCGCTTATGAAGTGAAAGCCTGACTTTTTTTTCCTTGTCACACTGGTCATCTAAGCATCAGCATAAATAAGTGTATCGCCCTCTAGTGGCTGAGTAAGTACTGGAGTCATTTACGGTGAATATTGGAGGGGGGGTTCTGAAATGGCACCGAAAATTGTCAGTTGCACCTTTAAAATACCTTAAAGTGGCTTCCAATTTGCCTTTTCAGGGCCCAATGCCTTGTATTAGGTTTTCATCCATGGAGAGGAATATGCAACATTTTTTAGGCAATAATCAGACATTTTTCATTCATATTTACATCACTTACATTGCATTTACATTTTAACACGTAACTTGAATGAAACATATACTAATTCATGCATATTAAAATGTGGTTAGAAATTCAAGTTTTGTAATGTATTTGTAATGTAATTAATTGAATAAGGGGTGTCTTTAATGCAGGTGGCAGTACCATAGGGATGAGGAAAAAAAATGAATATTTCATACAGATAGGATCATCAATAGAGATGACGAGAAGAAACTTGTATGGACCTTTTCTTTTTTTTTTTTTTTTACCTAAATTCACCTTCTGCAGGATTTTCATGAATGATTTATCACAGAAACAAAAGAGACATGTGAGTGAGCACGGTTGTGGTGACCTCTTTTTTGTTTGAGAAATGGGATAGAGGACCTGAGATCACATTTCAATTTTTCATTTTCTCCAAGTATTACTCAGGGGTTTTCCAGCATGGTCCAGAAGAGACCACTCTTTGGGGTAATTCTAAAATTCTAAATTTCTATCTTGGCCTCTCATTTTCTGAGTTTTCTTTATCTCTGGAAGCTGTAGCGGTAATGTGATGTTCAGTAATCCTAGTGAATTTGGGGTCACCCCTTGTAGTATACAGTGGTATGTTAACAGAGGTGAGATACCTTCAAATGCACAGAAGTCATCAGTCAGACATTACATGTGGTGCAAATCAATTATATCATCAGCATTTATCTTACTAGACATGCTTTAATTATTTGTGCCTCATGAGAGATTGGCTTCCTGTCCAGGGGTGTCCCCTGCCTCATGCCCTTTGCTTCTTGAATATTTTCCAGGCACACTGTAACCATGCACTGCATAAGCAGTCATTAAAGGACGGACTCATCTTTCATCGTATGAGTAGCTGCACACCTCCAAACATTCTGTTGTCCTTAGAACCCTCACATCATGTTATCTTGACTCCTACCAGAAAGCATATTGAAGCTGAATAATTCTACATCTCTCTCTCTCTCTGTCTCACACACACACACACACACACACACACACACAATCAGTCTGTCATTCACAAACGCACACGCGCGTGCCCAGTCACTCGCTCACTCGCTGTAGCGCTACGGACGTTGTGTTCCGTTATTTTATGACCAGAGTTCTTGCTGAAATGCCCTGCTGTCACCAGCCGTTATTTAGTGTTACCCTTTCTCTGATCTCGGGGATAAAAATAGCTGAGCTCTTTCCCACTCAAACTTCACGTTTAGCTTTAATTCGGTTTTGACAGGAAACGCCCCAAATCCGTAAATCCATACGGCATCACAGACGCATAAATCAAAGTGCTGGGCTTCAGCGCGATGGATCCTGATGGCCCGGCCCGGTATATCTCCGCTTCTGGAACGAAGAGCTGCGCCGTTACCGCCCCCGAAGCGCGCGACCCCGCCCTTGTTGCTCGGCAACGTGTTTACGCTCCAGCTAGTCTGGTGCACGCTCCGGCTGCTAGTGCGTCACGCGCTAACAGCCCGCTTCTGACGGTAAGGAAACAGCACCTTCTCCTGACATTTTACACCAGTTTAACTCTTTTAAATGTCTCCCTGGCGTTGTTCCCCGTGAGGTGTTCAGGATACTCAAAACGTCACCATTTCATTTTTCACAAGGCGGTTTTAGCACCGCTTCACGGAGAGCTGTACTGGTCGTGTGGCTTTAGGGTACCAGCCTCTGGTCGCCTCTCATTTCCCCCTCTCCGCTTTCCCCTTCGGTGTATTGACTGTGGCTTTGGTACCTGTCCTCAGCACCCCTAAGACACGCAGCATTTATCTTTTATAAAGTCACTTTGACAGAAAAGCTTAACCTGTAACCTATAATCTCTCCCCGAGATTTGTTCTGCGACTGGTCCACATAGCAACATATCCTTTATGAAGCTGCAACTTCTTGCAAAAATCCTAATATGTTTTGAATGTACAGTACTGACCTGCTTCCCTGCCTGTCCTGTGCAGAAAGTACAAATCCAGAGTAAGATTTTGTTTCAGCCAATCAGTTGAGTACTCTGTGAGTGTGGCTCTTTTTACTCAACTGCTTGGTTTGAACAAAGTCTTGGTCTGGATTTATACTTTCCACCACTGTTCCTGCTAAGGGCAGCCTTTGTTGTGGCAAACCACACTGTGCCTGGAGTGTTATAGGAATCCTCTCCCTTCTGACTGTTCTGCTGCATAATGTCATTGTCACGGTTAGGGGTCACAATTAGGGTTAAGTAACTGGAGATTGCCCCAACTTCCACTGTTCTCTCACTGTTAAGTAACTCCCCCAACTTGGTCCTTTTTATAGGAAACACCACTCCACTCAATGTCCTGCCACAGACGGTTTAGTTTGTATGTGGGGGGATTATCTCGGGAGCTCGAGTTTCAGTCTGTAAGCAACACCCCCCCCCAGCCCTGGCCTCCCCACCTCCCACCCCCACAGCGTGGTGCTCCCTTTTTAAATTAGCCGGTAGTGGTAAAGCCATCCGGCTCTTGGGACAGTGCTGTCTGAGGCTGGGATAGCAGCAGGTTTTTCTGCTGGTTTCAGAGAGAGCAAAGTTCATCGGCATGGCGACGCCAGGCACTGGTGGCCTCGAGGTCCTTCTGTCCGCCTTGAAGGTAGGTAGGCCTCATGTGCGCAAAGGCGGGTGCGTAACACAGTGTTTTATATTCTCTTGTGTTCCATGTGTGCATTCCCTTTGGGAAAACCCCATTCCATTTTCCAGAAGAACTCCAGTACACTTTTCACCTTGTTTCAAATGGTTTTGCTGGACACCTAAGCTGGTGTGCAATGTGTACCGTTCCATCAGCAGGTTCAGAAGTGGGTTGTATTTCTTGAGACCCGGATTGGTAGACCCACTGGTGAGTAATGCAGTCCAGCTGTTCAGCTGTCCAAAGAAACCATTAGGAAATATAAGGTCCACTGGCTTCATCTGGAATTTCCCCTCATTTCAATAAATTCAGCTTGATGGATCTGGCAGGCTTGATTGCCTCATCTCCTGCCTCTTTTAGATAAGCCAAGATTGGGTGAGACTCCCCGGGCAGCATTCAGTGACTGTCCGTGATTATGGCATGCCGTTGACCTTTTCAATTTCACTATTCATTAGACTAAACAAAATTAAACAAGTTTTATAATTAAGAAGTATGAAATATTTGAGCCCAGAACACTTAGCAATGAAGTGAAGGTGCTAAAGTCGATTTATTAGATTCATTAGCATGCTAACAATCCGCTCGCTGTGTATTTCTACTTTGCTTCCTGGTATCTTTGAGTCATGGAACTGTTGATGAGAGCTATTGATTTTAGGATATTGATTAAATTCCTCCTTTATGCTGCCCTGGTAGAGCTTACTGTGCTTGCAGTTATGCCCCTGTGTCTGTGGCTTTGTACAGTGAGCACCTATCCCTTTCAAATTTCAAAGAAGGAACTTCTAATAAAGTGCTAGTTTTTCACTGTGTGGTTTTGGGAGTTCAGTCTACTTGCATGTTTTGCTGTCTGCTTTCATATATCAATGTGAGTGATCTTACCAAAATGTGATGACTTTCAGTACAAAATAGTGTCAGTATTATATTTGGTGTACTGTAGTAATTAAAAAGTATCAAATGGATCTTTATAAGCATACATATGCTATGTAACATACATATGCTATGTAATACAGTGAGTAACATTTAAATGCACTTTTTAAGGTACAGCACTTACATTTTCTTTGGCATTCCTCTGCCTGCCATTTCCACGTATATTTCTTCAGATAAAACTTGTTTTTTAAAATTAATCTTTAACCTGCTTACATAACAGGATAAAGAACAGAAGACAATTTGTGGGGTTGAAAATCAGGAGAAAGTGTTTTTAGTGGTGTCAGTCCAGGTAGGAGCTTATGGGAATAAAAGAATAATTCAGTATATCAAGTATCCGGAGCCAGAGGACAGAGGAGGATTGTACAGCCTAAGGTTGTTGTCCTTATTTCTCAGGAGATACATTCGGTAATATTGTGCATATAGGTGGATTCAGTTGTGGTTTATACAGTTGTTTACTTTAAGGGATGTACCTCTTGTGTATTTAGGAAAGCATTAAAATGCTTTTTAAAAAGCATTAAAATGCTGAGCCTTGAAAAAAAAAAAAACAGTTTAATTTTGTCTATTGTTCTTCTCCCAGGTGATCCATATCTTTAATTATTATTTTTTTACTTCCTGCTTATCATTATGGAAAAAGAATGAGTGTCCTGTTGCGTAAATATGCTGTGTCTAGCAGGGGGTAGTGGTGGTGTACTTTTGAGGAGGGAGGGACACTCTTGCCTGAGTTAGCATTTTTCTTTGTCTTTCAAAACAGCTTCTTGATTTTTCATGTTAGAGCTGGTATTCACCCCTGCCCTGCCCAGACCCCATTATTCCTGAAAATGAAATCCCAATAAACCTATCCTTCCCTCCCCATATTACATGCTGAAATGGATCATTAAATGTCTTAACAGAGAGGTTAATTTTTCTGGTTTTCTATTAATATATAATAAGTTGTCAACACACCGTGCCAGTAATGTGTACCGTCCTTATCACGCTTCCAAATTGAGGAGCCAGTTTAACCCTATGTCAGCTGCAAAAATGTGAACCAATATTAGCACACTAAGATGAACATACAAGATTCCCTTTTGCTTTCATCTAGCAACACAAAACTGACGTGAACATTGAGTTTAATGTCATTTCCTACCTGTGTTCCTGATTTCTGTCATTTTTTATGTGTGATCTACTGTCTGTGTTTCTGATCACGGTCAGTTTTCATGTGTGATCTGCTGGTTGTGGTGTTCATTTCTGCTTGGTGTTTGTCCTCTCTCAGTTAAAAGAAACACTCTGCTCACATACTGTACTATATGTGAAATCCAGGTCCGGATCCAAAGTGCAGTCCTCTTTAGCGTAATTACTTGTGAGTTTGGCTTGGCTTGGAGTGACTGCTCTAAGCTATTAACGAAACAGGAATTGTGGCACAAATTTTCCAGCTTGATGCCTGGGTAATGAGCACGACACGCCAGCTATCCTGTTTGTGTCTGTGTTCGCATCACTTGCAGTCGCTGGGACCCCAGCAGCAGCCCCGGTCTGTGCCGTGTTGATCGTTTGTGTCACGACTGCGAGTCGACAGAGGATATGCCTTCCCTGCCTTTGTGCTTTTTGTTGTCACCGCGTCATACGCCGCACGTCAAGGCAGTAAATGCAGATCTGCTTCGCGTGAATGTTAACGATGTGTGTTTGCCATTGCCATCAGGCGCCTCTTTGTCATCCCTCCGCCCGCGAAGGTGTGTGCGTGCCATGCCAGCTGTACCCATGATTCCATGCAGATTACGCTCAAACTGACGGGCTGTCATTTTGAAGCTGGCTTCAGGCTCCAAGCCTCGTGTTCTTTCTACGCTCCTCTTTCAGGTGTTCCGATGCTGCTTGGCACACCCTGTCTCACCCGGCACGAGTTCAGTACAGAGTCGTCAAAAAGATTTCCATGCAAAACTTTCATTCATAATCCTGTTGCCTAATTAATGGTGCAGAGTCTATGGCCAATGCCAAAGGTGCTTCTTCAGAGGCTGTGAGATTTAGGGTTCTACAGTAGTTCTGACAGAAGTGGTTTGCTGAGGCCCGTTTCACTTTAATTGTCTCTGGCTGTGTTTCAGCACTGCATATTCAGCCCTTAGAGCTCTAAGAGAAAACAGGGAGAAGTGACATAAAGAGTGATCACATGGTCTTTCATGGATAAAATATGCTTTATTTTTTAATACAGGATTCTGAAAACACTGAAAGCTTGCTGAATATTCTCAATGTGCTGGATGAGCTTCTGTCAGCCGGTAGGTAACTTTAATATAACATGATGAATATCATGCCTCTATATTTGGACTGCATATATATTGCTTGTGTATTTTGTTGTTGTCAAATATGTATGTATATGTGAAATATGCATAAAATTCCCTTTTACAATTTGTTTTCCATATGCAGTATCTTTTATAAACCATGTTCCCTGTAACTACTGATGGAAGAAGGGAGGCTGCAGTCCCATGGTGGGTGTGATTAGCGTGACAGGATGCAGTGCGGAGGCCTGCTAGGGGGTAGGGCTGTGGTTTGGGGGAAGTAGGATTCAATCTAAAAATCCAAACGGAATATGCGGTCAGTGACCCTTTAAAGAAAATTAAAGGAAACTATTTCTGAACAAAATGCATTATTAACTCAAGCACAAATTGCAAATGAAACTATGTCTTAAAACCTGGGACTACACAAACAACAGCAGCCTTCCAAATCCGCTCAGCTAACCCGTTTTTAACCGTAACAAGGTGCTCAGGCGTTTGTAGGCACTGGCTTGAGGATCTGTCACTACTGAGGCGCCACAGTTCAGTGGAATCCAACCCATTGGCGTTGGCTAGTCACCCACCATGTCACGGCCTTCGGTGGCTAAGAGATCTAAGCCAACAGCGATCAATAAAGTCACTAATGGGCAGTATGGTTAAGCCTGTTGTTGATGGACAGGTCTGAATAATCTCACCCACACTGGGTTTGACGCCTTGTTTCCCACCTGACCAGCCGTAACCTGTGTTTGAAGAAGGTGTTCAGTGCCCTGTGCAGTCTTCTTCTCACACTCCATTGCACTGCTCCTAGGCACAGACAGAAGGATCCACTACATGATATCCAAAGGCGGCAGCGAGGCTCTCCTTATGGCCCTGTTGAGCGTCGCCAGGTCCTCCTCTCCCAATGACAGTGTCCTCCTGCCCCTGCTCCATCTCCTGGCCAAAGTCGGGCACAGAGGTGAGTGACAGATGGAGATGGGGAGGATTCATCAGACATGCCGGCACAAGTGGCAGCCCTCTCGTATGGAGTGACAGTCTGCCAGGGAGTTTTTGGGTTTGCCCTGGGTGAGCTTGTGTACACATCTCCCATTTCCTCCAAGACACTCAAGGTCACATATGAAGTCAACACAACCACGATAGTAGAAACTAATAAAAAGGAACGTGCTTGTAGTATATATTTTTTCTTATATTCCCTTTTTTGCTTTTGCAGTATGTGTTGATTACCTAGTGCTGTTGTAAATTGTTTCAGGTTCTCTTGCTGTTTGAAAGTTAGTTCAGTTGAAGTGCAATCAGAAACCCACTTTCAGAAAGACAGCTGGACAGGACTCCTAACATCGATCCATCATGTTAACATCACTGTGATTGGATTCGGGTCGGTGGCTGCTGGCGAAGTGGTCAACACAGTTCAAATATGTGTGGGAGATTTGGACCTTCAGCTGCCCATTTAGGACTGTCAGCAGTAGCTTTTCATCCAAGGAATGATCAAATTGGTTAGTGGCTTTCAGAATGTGCGTGAGTCACCAGGTGTCATCTGTCAGTCTCTGTCTTAGATGTTTGCTACAAGGAACGGCTTATATTTCTACCTCTTCACTTTGGGGCAGTGCCAAATCCCAGTTCTTTAAACTCCCCAGACCAGGTGCAGTCAATCATTCAGAAGCCTAACATGTAACTGGAAAGAGAAGTGCTATCTGCCTAACTTTTACATATTATGGTATAAGTAGTATTTTTTTTCAGGATCTGTTTAATCATTGGCCTTGTTCATGGATAGTCCTGTATTTTCGGGCTTTGCTGTTTACCGCTTCAGAAAGTCACGCTCCAGGGTTTGCAGTGTGTTCTGTGACTTCTGGCTCTCACTGCTGAGCTGTCCGAGCTATTTAAAACCCTTGTTCTGCCCACATGGTATAGAATCTCCACCTGTTTTTAGAGGGTTTCCAGGCCAGCGTGGGCCCCGGGGAACTTCTGTGTAGTAGCAGAGGTGTGTAACACCAATAAGTTGCAGCCGCTGTCACCTATGTAGTCAGAGAGCCAGCTGTGTTGACTGCTTACGTTACTGTGTTGGTTTATTTTAATATGGAAACGCATCCCTCTGATATCAAGCAAAACGCGCCAGTGTAATTGCCACCTAGCGGTAGTCTGGAGTTCCGAGAGTTGAGCCTTTTGAGGTCTGACATAGACTGTGCACTGCAGACAGGAAGATCGGTCTGAAGGCAGAGAAGATGGAGGCCGCGCTCCCAGTGCTGGACCTGCTCCGCCAGAACGTGAAGCATGCCAGGAGAGCGGCGGCCTGCCTATGGGTGCTGCAGGTCTTCTGCTACTCTGGTGAGGACTCTGTCGGCCCTGCCCTGCCCTGTGAAAAAATACAGGCCTCCGAAAGTGCGCAGAGTACGCTGCGCTGGAATGCAAATGCCCTGCGTGCACATGCATCGGCCTTCATATTCAGGCATCATCATCACCATCATCATAGTGTCTGATGGCTGTCAACGTGCTGAATAACGTGCGTTTTTCTCCTTTTAGTTTCCACGGCAACCTTACTTGGCAAGAACAGGGGGCTGGACATCATTTTTAAATTAATATCGCCACACACAACAAAACAGACTCGCACAGTGAAGTGAGTACCGCCTCGCCTGTCAGGCCGCCCCGGTAACCAGCGCGGGTGGGCTGCACAGGCTCCTATCAGCTGCTGCATTCCGGAAATCCTTGGCATAACGTAGAAGCTGCCATGCTTTTTATTAAACAGAGACTAACAAGCTCCATGGGGACTCTGGGGGGCTGTGTTTGTTCAGTCTCCTATTGATAGCAGCAGTAACCCTTTTCCCTAATATCCCAGATGTGCTTGATTTGTTTTTCTCCATGGAGTTAATGTGGTAGTTCTCCTCTTAGACAGAACAGAAATATTCTTCTCATACAGGAGTAGGAGTACTTGACTTGTACTTGCATGGGAGTTCTCCTGTTTTTTACATGGTGTATATCATGTAGTATCCACCCCCTGTATATGGGAGTTGTCACATTACACAGGACAACTAATTGGAGTACTTTTAATTTTTTAAGTGTAGCCATATTAGAGATCTCACATTCTCATAGGCTGGAGCACTTATTTCTGTTTTGATCATCAGTCTGCATTAGTGCTCCTCAGGTCCTGCTCTAAGTGGCCATGACTCCTGAAGGTCCCGATAAGCAGTAGCGCCTGACCCCATGTCCTCATTCCCCATCCTGCTGTGTTAGGGTCCCTAACATGCCAGCTTGTGTCGCCCCTGCGGTTTTCTGCTCTTCTTCATTACACGAGTCATAAATCCAGCCATCTCCAGGCTCCTGCTCTGTCTAGCTAGTTTGCTACCAGTGTTACTATAATTTAAATTTTTTCATAGTTTTTTTTTATTACTTTCAATTTTAATTTGGAGTCCAGCTTTGTTTTAGTTTTAAATGTTTTTTTATTTGTTATTATTGATATATTTCTGCTTAGTTTTTATATATAGTTTACTTTCAGTATAAATGTTTAGTAATTTTATTTCTTGGACCAGATTGAAAGTTGTGGAGCTGAAAACAGTAATATCCTCAGAATGGGCAAAGCATCTTTTAGGTATTATTTTAATGGTAATTAAAGATAAACTAATCATTACTTTAGCCTAGTGTTTTCCAATCCGGTCCTCAGGTACCCACAGACAGTCCACGTTTTTGCTCCCTTGCAGCGAGCAAAAATATGGACGGTCTGACTCTCTGCTCGGAGGAAGAAAAAACATGGACCAGTTGTAGGTCCCTGAGGACCGGATTGGGAAACACTGATTTAGCCAAATTATATTAAAAACAGTATTGGAAAGTATTTGTTGATTGTTTATATTTTATTTCAGCTAGTTTCAGTTTAGTACATTTATAGTTTTCATTTAGTTGTTTTTTTTTTGTTCTATTTTTGTATCGTATTTCAGTTTATGAAAATATTTCCTCAGTTTTAGTTTTTGTTTTCTTTAACAATAATAGCCCTGTTTGCTACTCAGTTAGCCTTACTTGCACCTCTTTGCTCACTGTCATATATGTTCCCAGGTCTTTTTTTGCCTCTTTTTTTAAAAAAAGGTACCCTTTAATAACTGTTTAATCCCATATGGACAGTCAGTTACTGACTGCTACAGCAAGACCTTCTTTTGGCGGACTGAGTCACTAGGTTGGTGCAAACTTTGTGAATGATTCCATAGCACACACATTCTCTCCATGTGCTCTAACCCATGCGATGCTTTCTGTTTGGCAGTAAATCTTAATATAGAAGTAGGATCATGTGGGAGCAATTCTAATGGACAGGGCACACAGTCATTTTTAACGTGGCATGATGCAACATACTTTAGACTATCACCCCACTGTAAACGCCATAAACCCTGTCACTCACTAATCACACAACCTGTAAACTGCAAACTGAGACAATCAGGAGCATAAATATCACATAAAATGTTATAATTTAAAACATGTCATATATGTACAACACACACGCACAAACATATGTTTGTGGGGACCGCTAATTCATTTCTGTGGGAAAAATGACAATGGTAACTATTACAAACAACCTTAATCCCTACTAAGCCCTAACCATACCCATAAGTAGTCAAACAAAATACAAACATTTTTGCATTTTTAGTTTAGCTTTTTGATTGCAGTCACGGATTTTTAGAAAATTGAGTTCTGGTCCCCATAAGGTAAAAAAAAACACAACAGGTATTCATTACTTTGTGGGGACAATGGTCCCTACAAGGTAAGGTATACCTGGACCCCACACACACACACACACACACACACACGCACACACACGCATTCACTGGTTTTTATAAAAGGTTATCCTTGTGGGAACTGAAAAAATTACAGATGCACCGATCTGAATGTCGTTGCCGATCCAGGTCCGATACTCACTTATTTAGGTTTTGGCAGTCTCTAAAAAGAGAGCTCCGATTCCCTGTCTATTTGTACAATCAATCTATTTGTACAATCAATCGCATGACAGCTCTTTCCCATGCTAGATGTTGTTTTTGTGGCATTCTAGCTCAATGCTAACGATGCCTCTCAGTTTTTTGATACTCGGTGGGTGTGAGCGCAGTGCCTTCCGCCTGCTGTGACGTCATGCGCATACTCTCCTGGAAGATATTGAGAGTGAACTGCAAATGCCTCAAAAACTCTTAAAACAAGATATACAAACAAGGTAGAATAGTACGTTATGTATGTTTTTTATCTGTATTAACTAGTTGAAACATATTAATATACACACACATATATATATATAATACATTATATATTTATTATAATAAAATATTAATTGTATTGAATCGGAATCGGGTCGGAACTAAAAAAAAATGTGGATCGGCCCATCCCTAGAAAAAATTATTCCCATAAGGTCAAAAGTTACTGGTTTATCACATTGTGGGGAAATCTGGTCCCCATAGTGTAATAATTACAAAAACGTGGTGCGACTGAGCCCAGATGTGCCAAGCCATGTTTTCCAGCTGCTGCACTGTTCAGTTGTCTGTTTACCACCTAATGGTCTCAGAAATGTGGGCAGAGTAGCATGTAATTCTGTAGTTAATTAATAACCCAGGCAGACCCAAAGCCCAGCTACGTGTAATTTATTAATGAATGACCTGCTCCATGCCTGCTACGTGCCTAAAGCCTAATTTGTACCTCCACCAACATATCCTGAACTGACAGAGGACCTGTAGTATCAGACATTAAGTACACATTTATAAAAGCTGTTAGGAATCGGCAAAAAAAAGGCAGGATCATCGATGGATTACTGCTCTCCTCACTCATATCGCAAGCACATACGTGCAAGGCAGGATGCTTAATTACCCCCTGCCTTCCAGAGCTGACTTCCTTCTGGTTTACACCAGCATCCCACAATGAAAGGCATTTAAAAACCAATGGAGCAGCTTCAAAATGTGCAAGAGAACTTATCTGGACCTTTTCTTTGTCATTCAGGTTTGAGCACTAAAATAGAAAGCTGCTAGCTTCGCAACCGTCATAGAATTTTCTGTTTTGGTTTCATGGCTAGTGATGAAAGCTGTGGGCTGATTTTAGACATTTAAACTTGATATGAGCCATATGTATGCGGATCGTCTTCTGGAAGATGCGCCTAATGCGTTTTCCGAGGTAGCCCTGGGCCGCATATGTAATGAAATGCGTAAGCCTGTGAAGTAATGGAATTAGGAGTATCAATCAGCACCACTAAATAATGTTTAATGGGAATTTGCATAAACGTTTAGTGTGGGTGTGCATTAGGATGTTTGGATCAGATAATAAATGAGAGGTTTTAGAGGGGAATTGAATTAAGCACTGTACATGAATAATCTTAAGGTTTGCAATGCTGAGAGAGCTCTTTGCGCTGCTGATCAATAAAATACTGTGATATTTCACTTTTTTTAATATGGCATTCGCAGTTCTGTTACACTTTATTTGCTTTACTTATGGAAGAAGGGGCTCTATTTTTCTCTGAGGCAAACAAAGCAACTGTGGTTTGGTTATTATAGTTTTTTATTTTTTTAAAAAAAGCAAAAGCCTCCCTAATTTGGCAATCATGGCATGTGTGGATTTTCGGGTTCGTGCCATTGTCCTCAGTTAGCAGGAGGTAAACTGTTCAATGATTCATTTTTATTGTTTATAAAAGGTGGCAAAGGTCCCAGGCTTTCTGAGAGAGCTACTTTTTTCATGAGGAAGTACTCTGATTCTGTGTGATGAATGGATTTGCATAACTGGAACTGAGTCTGAGATGTTGATGGTAATGTGGAATATTATAGATAGGCAGAGAGCTCACTCATTTTCTGCTCATCTAACAAACCTTCCACTGGCATCTGCAAAATCAGCCAAACGGCACCCTTTACTACACACTACAGTTTCGGGCTGTACTATGTTTCATCGTTACAAGAACTGATAGAATATTGTGGTTGTTAAGTTCCAAGCCATTTATTATTTTGTAATTTAGTTAATGACAAATTAAATGATGGTAGTGTTGTTGCAATCTGAAATCAGCATGCACACACATTAAAATGCTTGTGCTGACTTTGCTTGGGTTTTATGTATAGCTAAATTATTACTTTAAATATTAATCCCAAATATGTCTTCTGAGGAACGCCTCTCCTCCTGGGCCATTTGTCTTTATTAAAGGTGTTATTGCTCCATATCTCTGAGCTTTGAAGTTTGAGAAGATTTTTTTGTTCCCTTTTTTCAGAGCTGCCACAGACACGTTCGCAGCACTATTGCAGGCAGGTAAGCTGCTGTCCCGCTTAGGGGACTCTGTCACATGCGCTCCACTGTCCCTGTGACATGCGCTCCACTGTTCCTGTGACATGGCCCTGCACTGCACGATAGCGAAGCCTCTCTAACCTGTGCTGCCTGCCCTGCTGTGCCTTGGCCTTTGTCCTGTTTGTGTGTGTGATCCTGAAAGACGGTAGAGTACTGTACGCTAGTTAATGGCTGTGAGCCGACATTCATAAACATCATGGTTAAGTCAGTTTTAATGAGCGTAGACCACTCTATTTCATATGTGATGTGTAGTAGTATTGATAGTTTTTTTTTTTCTTCTTCAAATAAACGGATAGATTGTTGTTCTGGTTTAGTGTAGCCTGCAGAGAGGTATTTTCAAATGCACACCTGTAGGTGGCAGTGTGACTCCTCTAGTCCTGTTTGAGTACGCATCCCGCACCTACTGGTGCACTGCGGTCTCTGACTTCTTTAGCTGGTGAGTGTTATGATGTCGCTGTTCTTTAAGCTTCCTTCTCAAAGACATGCGTCTGGCCACTGACAGTCTGCCACACCCCCCCCCCCCCAACCCCTCCCGCTCAGTAGGCCCTGGCACGGCCAATTTTCCTTGGCAGATGTGTGCATTGAGCAGTGCACTCAGTTTTATTTTTCAGCCATCATGCATTTGAAGGTCAGAAACAAAAGTCTTCGAACATTTAATGTCGTCCCAACATGCTGCGCATTATAACAAGACTTCAAATTCAATTGCAATTACATTCAGGTACCAAAGCAGAAGATGTGGCATGATGCGTTGGATTGGTGTCTCACATGCTTATTTACATAATCATTTAGGCTTCTGTGCCCTTTGAATAATTTTATATCAAGCAGTCCATTTTTGGCTGTAGCAGATTATAGCAGACGGCGGCCAGTGAAACCCACCAAGTACAACCAGTAACACCCATTTCATTCATTTTATTTGATATTTGCATTGCAGGTTTGAGTCTGTGCCCTGTGCAGCTGGGCAAGCAGCCCTGGGGGGTCAGAGGGCCCTGAGCTGAACTGCTGCACCCTGTGACCCAGAGTCCAGTTTGTGTATTTGGTTACTCTTGCTTCTTATCTTCCCCATTCCTTGGAGGTGAAGCTGGTAATCACAGTAGCAGTCTGATCTAACCTGTGCAGCCACACATTACTGAATGAGTGATTTGTCACAGTCACCCCCACCCTGGCTGTGGTTCTTAGAATGCCTTGCTGGGTGTTGGGTCGATCCTCGGAGGGGGTCACAGCCTAGCTAATTAGTGAGTGATGGTGGCGGTCAGGAAGCGTTCTTCGGTTTTCCACTGGATCGACATTTATGGTCTTAAAGAGATGGGTTTTGTCTCTGGTTTCCAAATGCCCACAATCCCTCGGGAGGTGTCCGGAGAACCATTCCTCCCCTCGTAGAAACGCTGTCCGTATGGCACTGCCTTCCACGTAAAACGGAATTGTGACAGTGACACCATAAATTAGGGATCGGCTCTCGATGCAGCGCCAAGTTATCAATTAGAGGCTGGAGAAAGATGCTGGGAAATTTATGTGCAGTTAATTATAGCCACATTTCTCCAAACAGTTTGAAGAAACACAATAATAAAAGATTGAAAGGCTAGATGTAAAACGGCAGGCTTCCTGAATCAGCTTATGACTAACGATGCATGCAGAGCAGTGTTTAAAAAAACTTGTTTTATTACTTCAAGTACCAATAATAAGAATGCTCACTTAGAGATATTAACTATGGACATTTGAACTCCATCTCCTTTCATGTTCATTTGCAGTCTTGTTATTGTTTTCTTGCATTACACAGTGGTCATAGTATCTGAGGCAAGGATTAATAACTGGCTTTTAACTGCCTTCATTAATAATCTTGCTCTCCTTTTCTCTCTCAGTTTTCGTAACTTTATTGATAACAGCATAAGACGATTTTTCCCCTGCCCATTCCATCCCATTTTTCATGCCTTTCCTTCCACATGCTGGACTCATGCTGCTCAGGTGAATTGCAGGCTAAATAGCTCGCAGCACATTCCCGTGTGTGCCTGCGTCCGGTTGTAAGTGCGTGACTGTGCATGCTGGCATGCCCTTCGATAGCCTGCTGCCTTCGCCCAGGTTGCCCGTCAGTGTGCTCCAATGGATGATTTGTCCTCAGGTCTCAACAGCCGGCTAGCTGCCTCCAGGGGCTATGTCTCCGGCCTGCTGAAGCTCTATGAGGACTGGCACCAGAAGGACACGGAAAACACCGCCGTACCCATCCGCAGGGCCCTGCTCCACTGCCTACACCACATAACAGGCAATAGAGCGGGCAGAGCCGCCCTAGTGGCCGACAGGGGGATGGAGCTGCTTTACCACACCACACAGGTGAGAACCGTCTAGCCCAGGGCTCTTCAAATCTGGACCTCGATCCCAAATCCAGGCCTTGTTGTCATTTCTCCCAGGTAGTTAGTTTAATAATTACTGATTCTGATTGGTCAGAGGCTTCACACCTGACTGACAGGTAAAGGAAAGCGGGAAAACCAGCAGTGCTGGGACCCCGAGGACCGTGATTTGAATAATAGGGGTCTAGCCCAAGGTTTCTCAACCCGGTCCTTGGAGACCACCAGACGGTCCACGTTTTTGCTCTCTCCCAATTGGCAGGGAATTGGGAGAGAGCAAAAACATGGACCGTCTGGTGGTCCCCGAGGACCGGGTTGAGAAACCCTGGTCGAGCCCATGTCTGTTGCCGCCTTCTGCCACAGAGACCCTGGGGTCCTGCTCATTTACTTTTAAAAATGAGCCTTTTATCAGTCATCATTGTTTTATTATATAGGTTCTTGATAAATCATTTGCATGCAAATACTGCCAGTCCTTTGAGTACTATTGAAGTTTAGTGATATGTATTTAGTGCCTTTTATTTAAAACTAGCATCTAAGGTGTGTAAGTCATGTTTTGCTGAGTTCTCTCCTGTGTGCATGTTAGTCCTGCTTGTCCAATCAGAGCCTGGCTTCTCTGGTGGAGCCCACCGTCCAGCTGATGAGGAGATGCCACCCCAAGTGCCCCGTGCCCGTCAGGTCTGGGCACAGTGTCTACAGCTACCCCCTTCCTGGGTGGCCTGTTTTGGCCGGGGACATGCTTGCAGGGTCCCAGGGTAAAGACCGCCGCTGGAGAGGAAAGGTGTATCATACTGGCATCAGGAGCACACTTTACATCTGTGTCTGTTTTCTGTTGTTTTATTATATTTAACTTCAGAGTTGGCTGTTGCATGAGCGTCTTAATCCAACTCAGATTGTGCACCTTTATTGACAGCTATACACTGTGGTCACAGGTATATATCCAGAAACTTCTAACCTTTTGGCTGTTTTCTTCAAATGATCTCTGATCAGTATTTTTCTGAATACATGGGGACTACTTCACAGTTTTTTGTTTATCATTTTGTTATTTTAGACTTTAATCTAAAATAATGGGCCGTGTTTAGTTTTTATTTGGTTCGATGCCTTTGCTGCCTTTGGTCTGGTTAAATGCCATCGGGGAAATACGACAGCGGTCACTACCAGCTCTGTAAAGACTGGGATACCCACTCCTGAAAGAAAAGACAGAAGAACAAGAGCAACAGCATGAGTGATCAGTTGCGTGTGGGTTGAACATAAAATATGATCAAATTATTGATTGAGTAGAAAATCAAGCTTTTCTTTTTTTTTAGTCCGACATAAGTCGAGTCAAGCATGAGTTGTACAAAACATTTGGGGACGATGCATTCTGTCGTAATGTCTTCCTGGTAACTCGTAACTCGGTCTGGGAAGTCGATCCCTGTTACCCAGGCAACCCAGGCCAATAACATGGCAAGCACGGCCCCCACCATCAGCTGTCCTCCTCATTTATCTATGGCGTGAGGTGAAGCCCTCTGTGCACGGTGGGAGCTCCGGTGGGGAGGACGTGCAGAAACCGCCATCGTGTTGGGTTAAACCCCTGTGTGGGCGAGGAACAGGCTCGTTTAGGGGCTTGTCCAGGAGGTTACGGTATAGCGAAATGGGAATAGAGATGCTGTTCGTGTTCCGTTCTGTCAAGCTGTTATCGGACCAGATTCTGAAATGGCAGGGCGTTATGGTGATGTAGTGGTTGGTGCCGTGGCCTCACATCTGGGGGTTTGGTTCACATCCCTGTGTTGCACAGATGTCCTCAGATTCCATTAGTTTCCCCCACAGTCCAGGTCCATGGTTAGATAAATTGGTCTCTCGAAATTGCCCTAAATGCCTGATTGTTTGCCCTGTGATGGACTGGCATCTTGTCAAGGGTGTCCCCCTCCTCTTGCCCTGTGCTTCCTGGCATAGGCTCCAGGCTGTCACCCATGAGTAATTATGGGATATGAATGGATGGAAGGGTGAACTTTGCAATCAAATGCAAGAATGAAAAAGAATATCTTTATAGATGAACCTACGAATTCTTTTGTTTGTGCTTTCATGTGCTGCAATTCCTGAGTTAAAAAGGCAATTCTCTCTACGGATAGAAGCTTGCATGAGAGGCAGTTGTTTAAGGTCATTCAACATTAAAAATTGGCACTGTCAGCAGGACACTTAACACCTTGACTAGGAATGACCTGTTTGCTGATTAGCACACAGTATTTGTCCTTAAACCTGAACTCCCATCGCGTTCAGGGTTGCCAGGAGCCGGTCAAGGGCTGAGCCTTGCGCTGTAATCAGCCAGGGTGCCCTGGACTTCCTTCTGCGAACTTTGTCTTACCAGTTCTGCTTTGCCATTGGCTTCATCAGTGTGCTCTTGAAACAGGTATGATTGCAGACAGAATGAGTGCAGTCATCCAGTAGCAAGCAGAAGCTTTCTTTTTTTAAACGATCCATTTGGCAAAACTCTTGACCCTTTTCCAAGCCCTGCGAATACACTGGCACAGTGCTGAGAAGAATTCCTTGTCTATTTAGTGCCCACTGATGTATAGCCAAGGTTTAAATTGCTGATTAAACTGTATTTTCATTTACAAATGGACTGCCAATTTGACCTCTTTTTGGCTCAATATATCCTTAGAAGTTTACAAAGTCACACAATTCAGTGACTATAGACTATGAAATATTGCTTGTTTTGTGTATTTTATAAAAGTACCTAGTGATTTCTTTGTCTGGTTTTGTCCTACCTTTAGATGACATTGTGTGGAAACTAACAAAATGCACACACATACGCACACACACATAGTGATTCTTGTTCTGTTAAGCTGAAGTGACTCAGGACGTTGATTTAACAGAAATGGACCTAAGACAATCTGGGGGAATGATCTGAACAGCAGGTGAAAGGCACTATACATCACCTCTCTCCCTACCAGACTGCAGCTCAGAAGATGACAGTGATGACGACCCCAGGAGCGATGAACCCACCTGCACGGAACTTGTAAGTCTTCAGTTTGTTCACTTGATGAGGGTATAGCAGTCACAGAGAGACACAGGTGGTTTGCCAGCCGCATTTGTTTGGCCCGTTACCTTGGGCCAGTACCCTCAGAGAACCTACATTACTCCAATAAGTGGCCTGTGATGTTCCTATACATCAATGCCACCACAGTGCATTTCTGCCTGACAGAAATTGTGGAGCCATTTTATTAAACTTGTTTTCTGTATGATGTGTGTGTGTGTGTGTGTATGGGAATATAAACGTGTTTAATCCTACTTAAGGTCATTCATAACTGTCCGTTGAGACTATGTGATTAGCTGTAAAGATGAGACAAACTGATCCACAGGCAATATTACAGCAGGAATCACAGAGAACCTTGTTTCTATTGAGTCTGCTGGAACAGTAGCACTTCTGTTTATATGCAGGATGAGGACCTGGAGACAGACCTCAACAAGCTGTGTGTGAAACCCGAGCCTGACAGAGGAATGGAGCAGCTGGACCAGTATGTCAGTCTGTGTCCAGAGCTGCGCCATGACTTCCAGGTAAAACTCATTTTTATAAACTCGGGCGAATTAAGATGTTTGTACTTAGTAGAGATTCCTAATGGAAAGCCAGAAAACAAATACTGAAAAACAAATGAGATACCTTTTTGGAAGACTGGTACCAGGACCTGCACCAGAACTCTGAGGACATGGAGAACGAGAGTAACACTTTGCTGAGTTAGATTCTGAAAGGGGTCAAGCGCTCCCACTATGAGGACATGCCTGTTTGTTGGAAAGGGCCGGTCCAACATTACATTTCTGTCAACAAAATGAACTATTTGAGAGATTTACTCCTAAACGCTGTGGTTTTTTTCTAAGGATCTTTTGTTGTCCGGTGTTGTCTGGTGCCTCTATGCCAGCTGACACTGTGCGTTCAGATGAAATTCATGGCGATACCCACACTGGGTTAGTACAGGCGGTTGGTTTCCCATAAAGGTGTAGAGTCACCTTGCAGCTACTTCTGCATCGGAACACCGACGCAGTGCTGCTGCTGGAGCTCTGTGTCAGTATCTGAAATGCCAGGGGAAGACATGTTTAAGAGCAAGGGTTCAGCCATAGTGCTTGCTGAGTGTGAATGCTGCATGAACATTGGTGTGGGGAGGGCGGAGTGACAGCCAACAGCCAGCTGAGGTGGGATGGAAAAGGCTCCTTGGACTCTTAGAATGACCTGTTTTGACTTGAAAAACTTTCCTCCCAGATGTATGCAGGGAAGATCACTAAGACAAATTGTTCCCAGCAGTATGCGTCCATGTCTTTGGCATGACTAATGTGCTTACACTAATCCTTAGTGTGTCCCCGTCCACACCTCTAGGGGTCAGTCGGCTGCACTGGCCTTTCGTGTGCTGATGAGTATAAATCAGCTGAAATTTCATCATGCTTCCAGTTCTTTCTGTGTAGCCTGTCACCAGCAATTCCATCCCTGTAATATCTCTCATAACAATAAGCAGTGACATTGAAAAATTTTGCTTTTCAGTTAATTTATGCATGTTTTCTCCTATGTAATAATTCAAAATGCAAAAAGACAGCTAGTACATTGAATTATTAAGATTCAGGACATTACAAAATAAATATTGACTTCTCACAAGAAGGTCAAATTTTAAGGATTCTTAAAGCATTTGCTGATATACATGTATTCCACATAACATCAACTGATCTTGGAAATAGGTTTGAATGAAATCATTTGTTGCAATAACCTAAGTGTTAAAATGGGCTGTTGGAGCCTATGAGAGCCATATATTTTAGTTTTGTTGTATTGATTTTGATCTATCTGCAGTGTAATTAATCTTAGTTGTTTTGCTAGGACAACCACCCAATCTCTTTGTTGATTCACTGTTATTCTGCATGTTATTGGTTGAGATTGTTGAGTTACGCAGTGCTTGTTTATATCGATGTGCTCATCCCTTAGCTTTAATTTGCCACCTCAAGTATATTAAACAGTCACCATTTTATTATGTTTTTGTTGTTAACACACTACATAAAGTTCCTCTCTCCATTTTTATCCATATTAAACAAAGTTATTGCTTATTCCATTAATAAACTACAGTTCATGTTAGCATGAGCCTAGCCAATGTTAAATGTATCGATTATTTGGAGTACGGACTTCTTTGTACATCCAGCCCCCTTAAGGTCATATTTAGTAATGGGAAGCATATCCCTTTTTGGCCAATATTATTTTTAAAATTACCTGTAAACATAGTTTTATTATCCACGTATAAAGTATATATAATACACTTTATGGACAAAAGTATTGGGACACACCTCTTAATCACTGAATGCAGGTGTTTCATTCAGACCCTTTGCCAAAGGTGTATAAAATCAAGCACCCACACATGAAGTCAGGTTTGCAAACGTTTGTGAAAGAATGGGTCGTTTTGAAGAGCTCAGTGAATTCAAGCATGGTACTGTCATAGGATGCCACCTTTGCAATAAGTCAGTTTTTGAAATTTCTTCCCTGCCAGATATTCCATGGTCAGCTGTAAGTGGTATTATTGCAAAATAGAATAGACCACATAAAGTAATGGGGCAGGGTTGCCTAGTGCTGAGGTGCATAGTGTGAAAAGTTGCCAACGCTCTATTGACTCAATAACTTCATAGTTCCAAACTTTCTCTGGCATTAACCCAGCATGAAAACTGTGCACCAGGAGCTGCATGCAAGCCTCACATCACCAAGCGCAATGCCAAGTGGCCACCAAGTCTGGATTTGGTGGATGCCAGGAGAACGCTACCTGCCTGACTGCATTGTGCCAACTGTAAAGGTTGGTGGAGGAGGGATAATGGATTGGGTTGTTTTTCAGGGGTTGGACTAGGCACCTTAGTTCCAGTGAAGGGCACACTTAATGCTTCAACATACCAAGACATTTAGGATAATTCTATGCTTCCAGCTTTGTGGGAACAGTTTGGGGGAGGCCTTTTCTGTTCCAGCATGACTGTACCCCAGTACACAAAGCCAGGTCCATAAAGAGATGGTTGGGTGAGTTTGGCATGGAAGAACTTGACTGGCCTCACAGAGCTCTGACCTCAACCCCAAAAAACACTTCTGGGATGAACTAGAACGGAGATTGAGCCAGGCATTCACATTCAAAATCAGTACCTGACCTCACAATTGCTCTTTTGGATGAATTGACAGACACACTACAGAATCTTGTGGATAGCCTTCCCAAAAGAGTGGCAGCTACTGTGGATGCAAAAGGGGAACCAAGTCCATATTGATACTGTGACGTCTCTCCTTCCTTCCTTGCTGCTGTACTCCTGTTCTTTCTGCCATCAAAAGCAGCACCAGCACCTACATGCCATCACCTGCCAGCCCCCCCCCCCCACATTGAGACTCAAATCTTAAAATATGGACAGTTGTAAATTAGGATTTTGCCATCTTGTTAATTTGACTTCCTCTGCCGCCCTCTGGATGTGCTGCCCCTTTGGGTCTGGTTCCTCCCAAAGTTTCTTCCTTCTATGGAGTTTTTCTTTGCCACTGTCACATCTGGCTTGCTCACTGGGGGCTTTGGGCAGTGATATTGTGAAGTACTTTGAGAGAATGAAAGGTTTTGAAAATGCATTATAAAGATTGAAGTGAAGTGAAGTCAATTCATGCCTATGGGTTTAGAATGGGATGTCATATAAGTTCCTGCAGGTGTAATGGCCAGGTGTCCCAATGCTTTTGTCCATATAGTGTATGTGTATGATGTAATGTAATGTGCAAATTGTTTTCTGAGATGCTGTTAGTCCATGTTAATGTTTAATTGGACTTGTGCACAAACTGAGATTAGGGATGATCCTGGCTGACAGAAACTTTATGGATTGAAGTTGTAGGAGCAGAAGGGTGAGGAGGAGCCTGAGGAAGGTGGTATCAGAGGTTTTAAAGGAGATGTTTGTAACAAACAGAGTGTCTTATGTGAAGCAGTGAGTTTCATATACTTCATGGTCTTGCGTACCAGACCCACACATGGGTCATTATTCAAACTTATCAAAAGATTTGAAAACTATTAAATTCAAGGTGACTCCCCAGTCTTTCTTGTTGATTCGTTGCACAGTAAGATTGTCTGCAGAAAATGGCGAATTTAACTGTTTTATAAACATTTTTTAAAATCTGGTTTTCTTACAAAATGATTTAACTGTTGACAATCAGAAGAGATCATTCAAAAGTATGTGCAAAGAAGAGTCTGATTTCATCCTGCTAACAGGAGAATCAGCTGTTGTGGGAGGCAATACCTGCAATGGGAAGGGTTTCCCTGTCTTCACCGCAAGCCATGGACAGCAAGAAACTTTTTCTTCTAAGCAGATCATGATGATTACCTGAAGTGTCATCCTTGACTCTGTGTTTGACTTGGAAAGTAGTACCAGTTATGAAATAGACCTAAATTTATACTTTTAAATACTTTCTTCCCCTCTTCCAGCTTGGAATACTTAGTCCTTGCGATTTCGTTAATGTTCTCTGGGGCTTGTACGGTAATTGGGCGACCCTATCTGCTTTAAATATCAAAGGCATGCTCACCTTTTGATGTCACCATGAAAGAAAACCACATGCTTTTGGGTGAGAGCATCTTGAAACCGTTCTCTGAACGCTAAACCGGATTCCTACACTTGAAAGCACTTGTTGTCCGAACGGAGATGTATATAGGTTCACGTATTGTTGTATATAGAGGGGAAAAAATGCTAAAAACATACAGTGGATTTTCCTGCAGGCTATTGAGATGCGTATGTGTGAATGCGTAGTGTCATATGGCCCTGTGAAAATCTCACTCTCCAGGGTTTAATTAGACCGGAGATGCTCAGTCGTGATATCCTCTGTCGATACTGTACATATGCTCACGCTGCATCACACGGGCACAGCAGGAAGGGAAGGTGAAGCTGGCTGGAAACTCGCTGACGGTTGAAATGCCTGCTTTTCAGGATCTGGATTCAGGCACTGAGGAGGAGAGCTCAGATGAAGAGGCTCTGCTGAACAGGTACCTCAGCCTGGGGGACCGGGGCCCCCGTTGCCGTGGGAGACCCACCGGTGACGGCCAAGACCAGGGGAACTTGAAGTCCCAGGATCAACCCGGTGAGGGGCTTCCTGAGCATCTGAGAGGCAGGGGCCTCCACAGCTCCTATCTGAGCAAATCTGAGGCCAAGAAGGACGTGTGTGGGATGGTGGAAAGATTACTGGAAAAGCACGGGGCCTTCGTCCCCAACCACGACCCTCATGTGTACACGGCTGCGGCCTCCTGCACGAAGTCCGTTCCTGGATTCTCCGTCCTGGCCTTCCCCGACTTCTGGGGTCACCGGGCACCCAGCTGCCGTGAGCGAATGGCTGAGCGCAAGCCGAACGTGCAGAGGTATCCCCTCCCTTCCTCTGTGTGCTCTCCTCTTCTCCATCACAGCCTTAGGACTATTTAAAAATCCAGTGGCATTTCTTCTTTCAAACGCATCATTCTTCTGAGCGCTTGGCAGGAAGACAGAGAGATACGCCTCAAAGTCAGAGCCGGTCCTGAATCTCAAAGCTATGATCTGAACGATGGACTTCCACTTTGAACAACTTGTCTTCAGGGCCCATTTATTACATCTTCTATGGGTATATAATGAGCTACTAGATATTTAACTGCTGGTCTTTTGTGGTTTTCGAATAATAGCTCTTTAATTGATTTATGGATTTGTATGATATCTGCACTCCTGGGAAGCATAGGAAAACGGTTACATTGTTATGTAATCAGTGACCTGGCAGTTACCTGCAGATACGTGCCTGACAGTGTCATTGGACATGAGCTTCATGACTGTATGGTCATGCTGGATTTCCGGTGCCTTCTCTGGATGGTCTGCGAGCCAGCCTGTTTCTGTCCTGCATGTCTCTTGAGGTCTATAAATATGGAACACTGAGAGTATCATGGCTTTCTGTTTGTTGAGTTTACCTCATATCTCAGCCAGGGAACCTTTCTCTGCTTATGTCCTAATTACTGTTGATTTGTCTGTCAAACTGTCCCCGCACTCATATCTGCTGGGCGTAGGCATAAAGTAAGAAGTGATCAAGGACCCTTTAAAGTTTGACTCCACTAGCTATTTATGTATTTACTACGGTTCCTTCTATGCAGTCATGTTTTATATGTGTAAATAGCATTTATTTGGCATAATTTAGTCAGTTTTCACAGTGGAGCCATGACCAGCAGTCTCAAAAAACGGAGATTCGGATTAAGGGTCAGTTCCCGCAGAGGTAAACATAGAGTGAATGTTTTGATGTTGGGTTATTTGGACAGATAGCTTTACCAGCCCGCCGTGCTGACAGCGAGATGGTCAGCTTGTGAGTCTGTAGGGGAGCAGTGATGTTTCTGAACAATTAGGCAATTGGCTGAGCAGCGCTGGAAAAGATCCAGGCTGGGATGGCTGAAGCTGCCTAGGTCACAGTATTGAGAAAATGCACAAAAGAATGGCTGACAGAAGCTGTACTGGCATGTGACAGTCAAGCAGTGTGTTCTGAAGCTTGCGAGTGAGCCTTTCATGTAAAGCACTTGAGAGCAAACAGAAGCAGCTTCCTGGTTGTGCCCTGGACAGAGGTGTGGTTTAGCTGTGTTTAAATGGGTCAGAGATTGCCTGTCTTTATTCACCGCTCTCAGAAAATGTCCCCGCAGGCTTATATTTATTGAAATGGTTTCCTGTGACATTAACTGCATGGTCTTCATTAGAATAATGATGCTTGTATGTTCTCTTAATGGCGATCAGACTTTGCTACTTTGACTAAATAATTATAATTATTTTACCAAGGTTAAAAGGAGTTAAAAGGAGGCCTGGCTTCAAAGACAGCGGCAGCGGCTGGAGGTGGTAGCAAGTCCCTTGGGAATGTGTTAAATTGAATTTTTTTAGGGGGCTTTCCAGTTTGACTGTGGGGTGGAATGTTCTTACTGACGTCTGAGCCTGGGGAAAGGGGAAGCGGGGAAATCAATGGAGTCGAAGCCCTGTATAATTCATCCTTGCCCAGCGTGACTGCAGGTCTCCGTTTTGTGCTGCGGTTATCATGAACCCCTCCTGCCCCCACCCCCCCCCAACCTTTTTTATCAGGCTGTTTACACAGGCCCACTTCCCAGGCCGATTAGGAGACCTGTCAGGAATGCAAGACATCCACTGCACTGTGCTGTCTTCTGCCTTCCCTCGTCTTCTTATGTTATCGTCTCCCACATTGCCTGGTTAGCCGTTCTCCTTATCAGGAAATTAAAAATAAAGTCTCATTAACTTGTAGTTAATTGTGATGTTTGCCCATGTGGACGCCCAGTATGAAAAGGGAATGCACGACCACGTCGGTAAACACCAAGATGACTGGACGCGAGAACATAATAAAGATGGCTGTTGCCTGATCTGTCCTGCCATGCTGAATCTGAGGCTTGAAGTGACTTTAGATTCGGTCCTGATGTCTGTGACCCTTCTCTGCTTCTGTATTTAGCATCCTGTCTGCTTTCGCTGGGTTTGTTGTGCCTTGCAGGATATTTCCAGGTGTTAGGGTTAGAGCTGTGTGCTTAAGAAGAGCTTATGTGCAGAGCTGCGTGCTTAAACAGAACTTAGACTGGGAACACGTAGGACCAGCATGCTTTTCAAAGTCATCAATATCATGGATCTAGCACTAGTTTAGCCAAAATTGCACAGTAAGGAGGAGCTTTTTTAAACATTTGCCACTTAATCACGTTATCGCACTTAAGCGGTTTCTGAAACTAGCAAACTATCTAATTGTAGGCAAACAGATTTTAATATGGTACTGTAGATGATTCTTCTGTGTTTCCATAGTTTGCCACTGAAGGACATTGAGGATCTATTTTTTATTTCCTATGTTGAAATATGTTGCACATACAGTGTAATGCAAAACGGACACCACCTCAGTCAAATGCTCGCTCAGCTGCCTAATTTTTTCATTTTCACCGGTCTCACTGAAGAGGGACCATCAGTTTTTCTTGCCATTCGTGTTCTGACATTTGGGACGGGACTCAGTGCTCTTCGCGTTCCTCTCCATCAGTCCTACGGGGGGCAATGAACTTTGGCAAATGAAACAAATCATAAAGTAAGGGAACAGTTACAAACTGCTCAGAAAGGAGCAAAAAGAAATATGGATGCTGTTGATACTAATGATTTTATATACCTTCAGCAGATTCCTGGTCTTTGTCAGGGTGTTTTGTGGTTCCTGGAATTCTGGGATTTGCCTGTAAGAACCTGTCGTTTAAAAAAAAATATATCTTAAAAGACTGGGCCATTGGGGCATAATGCAAGTCAATTCTATTTGGCTGTAATTTAAGACCAAAGAACAATTCAGGACTGTAATATGTAATAATGGGTTGGTTCCCAGCAGTCCCTTGTTGTTATGTATGTGAGGTGAGTTTTATAGCTTGTTCTCTTCCCCAGAGGGAAAGTTCTTGAAGACATCCGGCGTTACCTCCATCCAGAGGATCTTATTAACAAAGTTGTGTTTGACTTGGAGGACCCCAGGTAAAGTACTAATTCTGTTTAAAAATGAATGTTACATAAGAACATAAGAAATTTACAAACGAGAGGAGGCCATTCGGCCCATCAAGCTCGTTTGGGGAGAACTTAACTAATAGCTCAGAGTTGTTAAAATCTTATCTAGCTCTGATGTAAAGGAACCCAGGGTTTTAGCTTCCACTACACTAGCAGGAAGACTATTCCATACTCTAACTACACGCTGTGTAAAGAAGTGCTTC